TTCTGGTAGTCTGTTGTTGCAATGTTCTAAAGTGTGAAGTAGGAGTGTGTTTGGTTATAGATGTTTTATTGCTGAGTGCAGTCTGTCCATTTCTGAGTCTATATCTTCTGTTGTTTTCCCTTGTAGGTTAATCGAGTGGTGATTACTTAAGTCGTCTTTGAAGCTGTCCCAGTCTGTTTTACTCATTTTCAGTCTCTTTTTTATTGGTATCTGTATGGGGCTTGTTGACAGTGTTAGTATAATTGGCAGATGGTCACTGCCTGTATTATATGGTAATTGAAAAAGGCTTTGTTGTTGGTAAAAATTTTGTCTGGTGTCGATTGTGTATTGTGATTTCTCCAGGTTGGAAAGTTAGGACCCAGATGATTGATTTTCCCTAAATTTATTAATTGATTAAGGGCGTTTCCCACGACGTTATTATTTGTATTGTCAAAAATCCTATGTCTGGCGTTAAAGTCTCCTAAGATGTACATCGGATGACTATTGTTAGCCAATTTTAATAGGTCTTCTATAGGTAAGTAGTAGCAATAATTACGTCTCCTTGAGTTGTATTTATTTTTATTGCTAGAAATTCATCCTGGAAGTCATCAATTAGTTTAAATTTTAAGTTTCTTTTAACCGCTATCGCTACTCCGTCATTTTTCTCGCCCGATTTATTTCTTTGGTTTACATAATAGTTAAAGAGTTTTATGTTGTTGTTTTCTGTCTCACCGTGACTGTTTATTAGTATAATGTCAGGGTCAATTTCGCGATATATATTACTTAGGTTAATTCTCTCGGTCTTCCAGTTTCTTACGTTGTGTTGTATTATTCTTAAAGTTCTTACTGTTTGTCTATTGTCCATTATTTCTTATACTTGGATTGTGGCAGTCAGTTGGAGTGGAGACCTATCATCCTGTTTCCCGCTTCTGACTCTTCTATACTCTGACGGGTCTACTATTTTAAAGTCTTTGGCCGTAATCTTTAGTTTGTCCGTAGTAATTAGTGACCAGACATAATCTTCACTTAGGGATTTTTCTTGATATGTCCACTTGTATATCCCTCCTTCACAGTTTTTTACTATTGTCCCTCCTGTTGGTCTCGATGTTGGGATTCCATGTTTTGTTGTAGTGATAACTTTTAATCCAATTTCTTCAGCAGATTCAGGTTGTATATTGTGATCAGTTTCCATCTTATCTTCTCTCCTCCTACTCCTTTGTCTGTCCTTTTGTTATTTCTATCTTCTCTTTGTCACTTCTAGTCATTTGTCTGGGATCTCTATCAGTCGCTTGTGTTCCTTGTGTATCAGCTGTTGCTCAAACCTTTGTTCGTCTTGATGTAGTCTTTCTCTCAGTTCGCTTGCATATGTTGTCTGAAATAGTTTTTCGGATTGTGGATTCTCTGGAAATATCATCTCTGGTAGGTTATTCAATTTAAACATTTTCCTTAATTCTTCATTGTATGATCCGGGTGCAATGATATTGTGCAAATGTGCATGGATCATACCAATCATTACCTTATCATGTATTGCCTCACTTAGGTTTAATACTGTGATTCTGGTCTATGTTTCTTGGACCGCTCTTTTGCTATTTCCCGACGTATGTCGTATCCTTCTTGTCTTGTTCCTTTTTCCTCTTGTTTCTTGTACTCTTTATCATGTGTTTTTTATTGGGCATGCCATTGCTAACGTCCTATGTCCTATGTGCTACATTCCCGTTTCTCTTACAGTTGAGACAGCCAACATGTGTATTCTTACATTCAGTGTAGGTATGGTCGTCGCCTGCACAATCTGAGCAGTACTTTTTTTCTTTTCCGGACAGTCTCTCGTTGTGTGTTCTTCATATTTGTAGCAGGAGAAGCAAGTTTGCAGACTGATGAATGTCTCCTTCTTTATTTGATGTGGTGTGACTGACATGTTGAATATTAGAAAGCCCTGTTGTAAAACTTTCTCAGCCATTGACACTTCTTCAAACATGAGTATAGTCCTTTATCTTAATGACTTCTTCAATCTTCATACACCTATTTTGGCGTTCCAGTTCTTCTTTCAGGTCTTCCTCCCGATCTCTTGATCGACTTGACGAACAAAAACTGATCTTTTTGCTTTTTGTTCTGGTGGCATGACAACAATAAGGCCTTCATTGTAAAATATATCTCTTGCTTCTTTTGAAAGGATTTTATCTGAATCAAAGTCATCTTTACAGATTACTTTAAAACCTTCATTGGTGCTGAATATTCTAGTTAGTGGGACTTGCAGTTTGTTGTAAGTGATTTCTGCCACTTTTTCCCTTCCAATAGAGTGTCCCTTATCTTTATGTTTTATCTCTAATGCTAGTTGTCATCTTCTTGATTACATCTAACTTACCTATACAGAAATTCCTGCCTGGGAGCAGTGATTCTGCCCCCCCTCTGGACGGGCGTCGGCCTGCACCCAGGTTACCTGTGACTATAGTAATATCTAAAAGTTGCCACCTTACCGGTGACCCCTGACAAGGGGTGCCCCCTGCACTCATCGCGAGTCTCCCTGCCGGATCGACCGTATCGCGAAGTCCCGCCTCCCGTTCAAAGAACGGAGTGCATGAGGGGGATGAAAAAAGGAAAGAAGAGGACTTAGAGAGTAGAAACAGCCTACCTACCACGCCACGTTCGGTCAGCTAATCAGAGCACCGCAGTAAACGTGCATGTATCACGCCACCGTGGGGCACCACTGATTGGCCAATCCAGGACGTAGACGCACGGGTAGTAGTCAAAATTTGGGTAGGCCAAATATTTGTTTTTTCCAAAGTTGGAATTTCCCGTACAATCTGTGATGGTAATTACACCGTCACTATGTTGAGTAAGTACAATCACTAGGATTGAGTGTCTTATCACAACAAAGTTGCAGACTCAAACATGCAGCAAAAAGAATCAGGTCTTCGCAGTCTGGGTACCATTTTTACTTAGGCTAGCAGCATACCTGGTTAAAGCAACCCCCTCACAATACAAGAAGGAAGAGGATTTCTTATAGTCTAATAAACAATTCATCATGACCAAATACAGTATCTAACATTAACCAAGTGCAGCCCCGGTTAGCAACTAACCATTTGATTGCATTATCTCTGAGAATAGTTTAGCAATTATCCATTTGATTGCATTATCCCAGGTTAAGGGGTTGTGTGTGGTTCCATATCACCAGATTTAGCTAAAAAACTCTACGCCAGGCTAAACAAGTTTAGGCTAGATAGTGGTGGCTGCTTTTGATTATTTCTTTGTCTCTTATTGACTTCGGGTGGCTAACCTCTATAAAATTGAGGACAATTAATAGACTTTTTGTACTAAGGTTAGTTAAACAGACACTTTGTTAATGGAGGATTTCTGCCATCGGGGGAGCGTGTGACGAAACCTCCGGCGAAAGTGTGGTTAGGTTAGGCGGCCCGGTAGTGGTTGGTTAGTTGCCTGTATTATTATTATTATATAAAATTTAAGGTCCCCCGTTAGACTTTACCACGGTCAGGCTAAACAGTTTAGGCTGCTTGGATTATTTCCTTGTCTCTTATTGACTTCGGGTGGCTAACCTCTATAAAATTGAGGACACCAATAGACTTTGTACTAAGGTTAGGTTAAACAGACACTTTTGTTGTAATGGAGGATTTCGCCATCGGGGAGCGTGACGAAACCTCCGCCAGTAGTGGTTGGTTAGTTGCCTGTATTATTATTATTATATAAAATTTAAGGTCCTCTGCTAGACTTTACCACGGTCAGGCTAAAACAGTTTAGGGGTTGCTTGGATTATTTCCTTGTCTCTATTGACTTCGGGTGGCTAACCTCTATAAATTGAGGACACCAATAGACTTTGTACTAAGGTTAGGGTAAACAGACACTTTTGCTGTAATGGAGGATTTCGCCATCGGGGAGCGTGACGAAACCTCCGGCGAAAGTAGTGGTTAGGTTAGGCGGCCCGGTAGTGGTTGGTTAGTTGCCTGTATTATTATTATTATATAAAATTTAAGGTCCCCCGTTAGACTTTACCACGGTCAGGCTAAACAGTTTAGGCTGCTTGGATTATTTCCTTGTCTCTTATTGACTTCGGGTGGCTAACCTCTATAAAATTGAGGACACCAATAGACCTTGTAATAAGGTTAGGTTAAACAGACACTTGTTGTATTAGAGGATTTCGCCATCGAGCGTGACGAAACCTCCGTAAGGAAAGTAGTGGTTAGGTTAGGCGTCTGGTAGTGGTTGGTTAGTTGCCTGTATTATTATTATTATTCTATAAAATTTACAGTCCCCCTGCTAGACTTTTACCACGGTCAGGTGGGGCTAAACAGTTTAGGCT